AAAATTGATGGGAAGATGGATGGAGCCAAATACAGGACCATTCTGGAAGAAAACCTGTTGGAGTCTGCAAAAGACCTGAGACTGGGACGGAGATTTATCTTCCAACAGGACAATGATCCAAAACATAAAGCCAAATCTACAATGGAATGGTTCACAAATAGACGTATCCAGGTGTTAGAACGGCCAAGTCAAAGTCCATTCTTGCAAGGAAGAATGGGCAAGAATTCCAGTCTCTCGATGTGCCAAACTGATAGAGACATACCCCAAGCGACTTGCAGCTGTAATTGCAGCAAAAGGTGGAGCTACAAAGTATTAGCGCAAGGGGCCGAATAATATTGCACGCCCCACTTTTCAGTTTTTTATTTGTTTAAAAAGTTTAAATTATCCAATAAATTTCGTTCCACTTCACGACTGTGTCCCACTTGTTGTTGATTCTTGACAAAAAAAACATTTTTATATCTTTAGGTTTGAAGCCTGAAATGTGGCGAAATGTTGACAGGTTCAAGGGGGCCGAATACTTTCGCAAGGCACTGTACAGTACTATCTCATGACCTCATATGTTCTTAATCCTAAGTATTGATTTGTGCTTAGGTATAACTCTCATATCTTTATTAGTTGTGTGCTCCTTATTCCTACTGTTGTGTAAGCTGTGATGCAACACTGAAATGTCCCCACTGTGCATGAATAACCATCTCTTAATCTTAATCTTAATATGAAAGTTGTTTTCGTGCTTTTTAATCCCTTTTATCACATGCGGCCAGGGCAGGGTCAACAAAGCCTGTGAAGTGGTGCTTGATAACAGGCCTATGTTAAGTCTGTAAAAAGTGGGACTTAGAAGAAAAGATGTGAAACGATAGAACAAGTATAACATAAATAAACACATGAAGGGCTGTGTTTGCTGTGAGTATCATGAGCCGCGGAGAACGGTTTGATCAATAGTTCATGAAATATTCAGATGATATGGAGCAGCTGTGTGTCTATGACGTCTTTCTGTTTCTCAGCTGCAGAAAGTCCCGTCCCACACTACGGTGAGTAAATATGTTGTGAAATCACTCTCCATAGAAGGTATTGTTGAAGATGTTGTCCAGAGACCACATCACCCCTGTATTTAGCCACAATCAGTAACATCAGCAGCTTTTTACCACCTAAAAAACATTGCCAGGATCAAAAACATAGTGTCTAAAGCAGACCTGGAGATTCTTATCCATGCATTTGTCTCCAGTAGGTTAGACTACTGCAATGGCCTGCTCACAGGTCTGTCCAAACAGGCTGTAAAACAGCTGCAGTACATTCAAAATGCAGCAGCTCGAGTCCTGACTAGAACCAGGAAGTACGACCACATTAGTCCAGTCCTCAGGTCTCTGCACTGGCTTCCTGTGGCTCAGAGAATAGATTTTAAAACAGCTCTGCTTGTTACAAGTCTCTCCATGGCCTCGCACCAAAATATATTAGTGACATGTTAGTCCCATATGAACCAGCCCGGACTCTGAGGAGCACAGGGACTGGACTCCTGTTAGTGCCCAGAGTCAGAACTAAACATGGGGAGGCTGCTTTTCAGATTCATGCTGCTAAAATCTGGAACAATCTTCCTGAAGATGTGAGACAGGCCTCCTCAATGACAATGTTTAAAACCAGGTTTAAAACAGATCTTTTTAGCTGTGCATACAACTGAGGGATTTTATATTTTTATCTTTCTTTTTGATGTTCTGTGATTATTTATGATTTTAATGCTATCTTATTTTGTTCAGCACTTTGAATTGCCTTGTGTATGAATTGCCTTGTGTATGAATTGCCTTGTGTATGAATTGCCTTGTGTATGAATTGCCTTGTGTATGAATTGCCTTGTGTATGAATTGCCTTGCCTATTAAAACCACTCCACTGGCTCCCTCTAATCCAATAATTTCTGCACTGTGAGATCAATGGAGTTTTATTTTATCTTATCTTAAAACAAGTCCTTCTCATAAACTGTAAAAGGAGTGGACTGTCCCAGTGATGGCGTCTCCTATAATGTAACCTTTTTCGAGATAATTTGAACACCATGTGCAAGAATCTGAAGCCAAATATGTGGTTAGCAACGACCTAGCAACCAAAGAGCCAATCAGGAACGCCGCTGGTCTGTTTCCGCTCACTCTGTTTGGGAATTTGGGAACAGAAGGCACCTGATTGGCCAGATATTATTTTATTTATTTATTTATTTATTTATTTGACAGGGACAGTACAAAAAAAACATTGTCACCCACAGGTAACCGATGTGAAGTACACAAGGCTTCTAGCCAAAGGCTAATTTGCAGCCCCCGTCCCTGGTTAGGCTTTTGGAGAAAGCGAAGAAACAAGTTTTTTAAAAAAAGGGGAGAAAAGAACAACCACACATCAATAAAAATAACTGACCCCATTTGTCCATACTACATTCAGGTTTAGTGCTCACACTTCTGATTTTCCTTAAGCCACTTTTTCAGTTTAGTGGAGAAAAGTCTAGTGTCCGACTGTGACTTCAGCTCCAGTGGCAAAGAGTTCCACAGATGTGAGGCCTTCACTGAGACTGACCCAGAGTCGTCCGGCACCTTCTCACTCTGCAGCTCCCACTGACTGCAGCTCGAGTCTGCACACCCTCACTGCTGCACCTTTGGATGTTTTTACACATTACTTCAGGGGCTAATCCATTAAGACACTTAAACAAAGCTTTTAAAAAGGTAAAATGTATAAAATTATCAAAACTCATCATGTTGTATTTTTCAGTACATAACTAGGGTTCATAACTAGATTTAAAAAGATAATATCAAAATGTAATGGGGCGACAGAAATGGATTAAGGGGAAGAAAATGGATGGATGGAATATCAAAAAGTAATCACCAGGCTCATGTAGAGCTGAGGTTATAATGGGCTATATGCACGGGGAGGCGTGACGTCATTTCCTGTTAACAAAGCACAGCCCGTTCACTTCCTGCCTATGCTATCCTGTGGCTTTACGGTGGGTTTTAGTGACGTTTTTTAGTAATTAGATTGATACATTCAGCTGAGACTGACCCAAAAGTGTCGCTGTGCTTTCTCTCTGAGGTAGAGCTTTGACTGTGGCCACTCAGAGAGATTAGTTAACTTTATAAAAACACAATGACAGCACAATCAAAGAGCACTGTTGTGTCCCAAAAATGACCAGTATCCTCACAGTTTAATTCCCGTTTGAGCATTATTTAAGAAACTCGTGTAAACCACTGCTGGACTCCAGGGAAACTTAAGCCGTTCCTGGCGAACAGGAAGTGAAGTGGGGTTGTAGCTAAAACGCAGAAGTTTTTTCATTCACTTACTTTTTGATGTAAGTGAATGGGAGCCAGAGCAAGTTGGAACAATTCTTTTATACAGTTTTGGTGCTTTTGGTTTCATATAAGGCAGGCATGTCAAACTCAGGCCAAACCCGGCCCACAAGACCATTTTTGTGTGGCCCCTGCAATGATTTTCAATTATCCTTATCGCAGTAACTTGCAGCATTGATGGTGATCGGCTGCTATGGCTTGTTATACTTCATTTTAATGCTTACGGTCTCTGGACAAAAAAACATATAATTAAATTTGTTCTAAAATGTGAACTAAAATGTCATTAGGAGTTATAGTTATTATCATGTTCTTAACTCTCAGTCCTCCAATACATTTCTTATAGATATTTGGCCCAGTTGTTGTTGAATCCAAACCACACAAACTTTTATACTTCTGGCCACAAACAGATCTAATGTTTTTAAATTTGGCCCCCCGACTACAATGACTTTGACCCCCCCTCCTGCTATAAGGTGTTTATCATCATAATAACGACAAAAAAACTATTCCAACTTTCTTTTCCAGCTTATTCCCAGGTCCAGTGCCTGTGGACGAACTGCTTGACTCCTTATTTAGCGAAACATGTGAGCAGGTGATGTCACATTTGAACTGTAGGCCTGACCTCCCGCCTCCACTGATCCATATGTATTGATGAGCTATTGATTCTCAGGAGCTGCTGATAACTCAACTTGTCAGGGTATTTACAACCACATTTGACTCCTTCTGTTCCAGTTTAAACTCTATGGATGCAAACCAGATTGTAGCCACGGCCAAGCTCAAGAAGTTAAAGGGACCGATGGAAAATATGGAATTGATTCATGTTCATAATGAGACAGTGAGTTACTCTGAATGTTCATTAAGTTGCATTACTCTACCTGCTTCTGTAATTATCTGATTATTGTATACAGGAATTATATTTGCAAGGGTGTGGAGTGGGATCTGAGGGAGCAAACCTGTCTTGTATGTGTTGTAAATGTAATTACTTTGCATCATATTGTGTGTATTGTGTGTATTGGGAATGAGCGTACCTGTAGGAATCCAGTGGGGTCATTCTCTTTGAGCACCTCCAGACAGTACTCCATCATCCCAGTGGTCTGCCTCAGCCTCATGGTGCAGTGGGTGATCTGGTCTCTTACCACCTGAAAAAAACACATTCACATTATGTCACGTAAATCTTTTATAGGCTGCAGATGCATGTTTTTTGAAGCGGGTTGACCCTGGACAACACAAGGACAGCAGAGGCGTGTTGTTTGACCCTGTGTCAGCGTTTCATCATAGAGAAAATAAAAATATGTTAAAATGAAAGGCTCAAAACAAACTTCTGACTTTGAGCATGAGTCTGCACAGTCTTCATGCATCACAGAACTCATGACCTGGGATCTCTTTGCCTTTATCGTCCACTTGAAGCTGTGTAAAGTTTGTAAACCGTTCAATCTGGAGCGACCGCACAGACACGGAAAATGCACTGAATGAGTTTATTGATTTGTTTGTTTGCTACGAAGATAATCGCTTGTGTGGCGCTCATTGAAAGCATGATTTTTGTGAGATCTTTGCCAACTGGAAAGCATCATGAGCGTCAAACCAAACTTAGACCGAGAATGCAAGAAGAGCTGGACCTTCAGACCGCCGGAGATGCCGACTTGTCTGACTACAGCAGGTGTCTCCAACCTTTTTCAATCAGAGCAGAGCAGAGAGCTACTTCTTTTTGCAGTCGTAATAAAAATTGATCTAATACATACGACAAGACTTGGAGAACACATGCAAAATACACCATAATCATGTAAAACCTTATATTTTTATTATAATAGACATGTGTTGACTCAAAATGTATTGATTCAAGATCCTTTGGCAAGCTTCCTGAAAGGGGCTGTCGAGCTTCTGGTAGCTCCCGAGCCACAGGTTCGAGACCCCTGGACTACAGAAGTCTACTATGGTGACATATTTCTGTTAGTTCATCAGTAAATCTATGGTTCCTAGTGGAAGAGAAGACTTTTCACACTATAAAAACTCCGTACCATGATTGCGTTGGAGGCAAAATGGAGGAGATGCTGTCCAGCCTTTGACGTATTAAGCACTTCCTTCTACAAAATATCCAGACTGGTATTCCTTAATTGATTCTTTGTCAATACTTACAAGCCAACCACATGAGGCCATAAAGTTGGGATGAGCATGCACCCGAAGGCCCGAGGAGGAGCCAGGGAGGTGGTGGTGGTGGTTGTTTGGTGGCGAGAGCTTGGAGAAGTGTAGGTTGTTGGGAAGTTTGGCAGCGCTGTGTGATAGGCTGAGGGTGAAGGGGGCCGACCTGACAGAAGGTCTGCATAAGCTGCATTTTCAAAGATTTTTGACAAGAACAACTTATAGAGGAAAGCGCAGAGTATGCAAAAGATCATACTTTGATGGTGCTCCTTGTAAAACCGTAACCATGCAAACTTGTGTGTAACTTTACAACACTCTTCACCTGACCCAGATGTGAGCAGTGGGCTATAAAATAATTTGGATATATTTCGGACCAAATTGAGGTCAAGAGAAGCGTCGAAAGCCAAATCATTCTGACACGCCAGCTCGGGACACTCAGTGCGAAAGGAAGAGACAGAGAGAGCAACCCAGTCTACAATACAGAGCCTCATTACTACTGTTTTTGCTCAGTTTTAACAATTTCTAGAGAAAACAAATCCTTGATCAATCAGACATTAGCAGACATTAAACACAAATGGATTTTTCTATCACAGCTGATACCTTTAAAGTCCTCTTCTCCAGCGCAGTATTGGATAGATGGCGGATAAAGTCATTAATGGCTGAAGGAGATCCAGTGAAGCTCCCGTTCTAAATCCCATTACTTTACCTGGACAACATTAGCTTCATGCATTTGGTCATGACCCGTGTTGATAATACTGCAGGTAGTAAAGAAACTGGAAGCGGAGATAAAAAGCACCGACACTGTGCAAATTAATTACGGCATTATTCTATGGCTGCTCACATGATTCAGAAAACTAATTAGATGCAGTCCTGGTGATTAGTGCCAAGTTTATTCAATGGTTAATCATAAGGCATGGTGAATTATTCAGCTGTCAGCTTCTGGCTACGCAGTGAGAAATCCGCCGATGAAGATGATCAAGTAGATTACGGAAATCAAGGGGGAAATGTAAAGTCGTTTAGTTAATTTAGTGAATTAAAAGGAAAGATACAGCAGGTGCAGTGTTGTCGGTGGAATTTGTTCTTTCAGCATTATCATTAGGGAGCTTAAGATCATTTTGTCACCACCAGTTTTGTCCATAGATTTATACAGGACATTAAAACTCCTGCATTTTATAGATGGAATACTGTATTATTTATTGTATACCCGTTGGGAAATTTGTCCTCTGCATTTGATCCATCCTGTAAAGCCTCTGGAGCCTCTGTCAGGAGTTGTGCTGTGTCCAGGGAACCATCTCCGGATGTTGATGCTCGGGTTGGTCCGGACCAGAGCTGGAAGATTTGACCTATCGTACATGGTTTTAGAGGTAGGGGAAACTTACACAGACATGAGGAGAACATGCAAACTCCACTGTTTCTTGCTGAGAAGTGAGAAAGCTAACCACCCAGCCACATGGTGGAAACCTCTCTCGTTTGGTCCTGGATAGATTGATACAAGCCATCAGTATATGAAGAATGACAAATACCCCACTATGTTATTATTGAATCATGCTTATAGCACATAAGTTTGGTCACGTCACATTTAAGACCTTTTACACGCTTGTCTGGAAAAGATGTCACTTTGCAGTAATTGTTTTGTGATTTTTACATTAAAATAATATATCGTTGCAGATCATGTTTGGAGCCATCTGGACTTTTTGTGACTACTTCAAACCTATGGCAGTGGATAAATCCCAGCGTACGTTAACCAAACAGTCTGTGTGAATGTGTGTGTGGTCTGGAGACTGGAGCGTGAGAACAGTGGGAGGAGAGTGAACCGGAGCCAAGAGCCAGGAGCCTGGTGTGACAGACGGAGACACTGCTTCAGAAGGTGACTGTGGACATCAGGGATCCTCCAATATTCATTCACATTAATACTATTTATCTATCTATATCCATAAACTATTCACTTCATGGAGCTCTTTTGACACTTTGGAAGCGATTTTCCACCTGATGTTTGGACATAACTATTGGCGCCGTTGCAGGAGTGTCTGTGTTTTGTCTTCTCTTTGGTTGTGTATCTTTTTGCCAACAATAAAATGTCTTCTGCTGTGACACAATCCCAGTCCTTGTCATTTTCTTCACCTCTCAAGACGGTGGTCGACTACGGGAAGAAGTCCAGTGTCTCACACTCATTCATCCACATTCACACCTCGAGACCCAGGGCTGGACTGGGACCAAAATGGCCCAGGCATAGTGCTCCGTCAAGGAGGCAAACATGCAAACAAAACATGTCAGCCAATGGCAGTCATTAGACTGTTTGATTTGTTCACGACATTTTACTTTTGGGCACAACCATGAACTGTTGGTTGGAGGGAAAATGCAGGTACCCCAGCTTTAATTTTTCTTCCGTGTGTACTCCCGAAGCGAAGTGGCAAACCTTGTTTAAGGTGTTGCTCAAAATTTGCTCAAATTAAGATACATTTTGCCAAATTTGAGCAAATTCTGACTTATTTTTTGTCACTTTTTGCAGTGTGTGATGCTGAGCTGCTAAAATAATGTAGCAACAGTGATTTCATTCAATCTTTTGAGCACATAATGACTTTCACAACTATATTTACTAACACATATTTTTTGGCTTTTATAAAATTGTATATTTAGCTTCTTTTGGTGTGAGATCTCCCGTAAATAGACCAGAATTGGCACTCCTCGCTCCGCTCTCTGTTGTGTGAAACTGGGGAAAAGATCTGCTTTCTTTGAACTGCTGTTATATAAGCCCTGAGCCAAAATAAACACCAGCTGTGTTCAATCCCATGATGCATTGTGGAGGCGCTGTGTAATTTTGGGTTTTTGAGGATTTTCTATGCTTTACACACACAGGCTCTTTATACAAGTTTATTTAATAAATTGCATTAAAACACATAGACTCACAACTTTTTAGGGCTGGGACTCGGCAAAAATGTGACAGTTTCATGGTTTTGAAATATTTGGTAAAAATTCAATATCATTGCGATTCTTAACATATCGCGATACATTAAGTATTTCGATTCAATTCTGCGATATATCGGGGTTCACGTCCCTCATATTATTCAAAGGCATTACAAACATTTATCAAGAATGAGTAACATGGAACTGCTCAAATGTCACATTTATTATGGTCCGCACATTCAGAGAAGTGCAAAACCGTGATCCTGAACATTCACGACTTTATGACAGACTTCATTATTCTCTCACATGAAGGCGAGCTCCAGCGTCACTGACATTATCTACATACAACAGGCCAGGCCAAACCAGACCAGACCAGACCAAAGCAGACATCATAGAGAAACATAAACCTCTGATGTAAAACTCAGAGAAAACAGAGAAGTGAGACGGATGATTATTTGTTTACATATAACTTTGCTTTTCTTTATCGATTTTATTGTGTCGCAAAATATCGCTGAACAGAAATAAAAAGAAATTCAGAGCTTTCCAGTCAAAAGATGCATTATAAACATTGTGTTGCTACGGTAATGGCCAATGGCTTTTCTCTTGTGGAAAACCAAATGGAACCAGAACCAGCCCCAGCCCAGAACCCGCTCAGAACCCGCCCCAGCCCAGAACCAGAACCCTCCCCTTGCTGGAGGCTCCTCACCTTCTGCTTGTTCTCCTTCTCCTTCGTGACCTTCGTGAGCAGTTTGGCCTTTTGTCGTGTCAGCGCCTCAATCAGAGAATCACACTGAGCCACGACACACGCCTCGAACTCCACTCCACTCTCCTGCAACACACAACATCACACACTTTAGAACACACAACATCCCACTCTTTAGAACACAATAAAGGAGAAAAACACTTTAAAAAAAAATAAAAGATTCAGTTATTTTGAGCTCAGAGCCATACATACAGTTTTTGTCTTCACTCATTTCTGAATCTGTAGCGAATTACAATCCTAGCGCACGCACACACACACACACAGACACACGCACACACTTCCTGTTTATTTGAGAATATGATAATTGAATGTGCTATTTTTGTCTCCCAAGCATAAAATATTTAACAGAGCGTTGATTATTTCGACTAGAATCGAGCGGCTGTTTTTCTCTCAAAATGCAAATAATGACGTCTCTATTCTCTGGCAGAGACTGAGCACCAGCGACAATCCCAATCTGCCCACGAGGCGAAGATGAGATATGAGCTTTTAATTTCACCAAGATGATTATTTTTCTCTTAGTTGTTAAAGTATTTGTGCGTAAAACATGAGTGGGAATGGATGTACTTAGTTATTACACTGCAAAAAATGGATACTGCTTGAATTAATTGTTTTTTTTTATTATTATCTTAATTTGACTTTATTTTCTGACTGAAAGTGGTTTAGTTCTTTCAAGATCTGTTGCTTTATTTTCTCATTCTAAGTGAGATATTTCTTGTTTTTTTCTTGAGATATTTTCCCCAAATTTTGTTACAAGGCAAAATGTGCTCAAATTAAAGGAGCAGAATGTAAAAAACTGGCCAAAAGTGGCACTGCAGCCTCTCCCACTCTCCCTGACTCAGGTTGCCAGATATGCAGACGAATCCAGCTGGGACCATAACAGCTGGATAGACAAGAGTTTTGTCAACAACAAATCTATAACCAACACCTTTTTCACAAAGATAGAAATCCTGGTTTTATTCCTTGTTTTGTCGTTAATGATTTGAGAATCACAACGAGACCTTTTGTAGTTCAGCGCCACATGGTACTTTACTGGTGAGATTAGCTTGACACGGTGAGTTCTGGCGCCCGGATCACAAACTTTCTGATTGTTAAAACAGTGGAGGTCGGGACATTGGAATGAAAACAATAACAAGATTTAGGGGTTGGAAAAATACTTTTGAAATATGTCTGAACTACTGTTATCAGTTAAAGACCATGGTTTGTTAATGCCTTTTGACAGATTAGGACCATTTAATGATAACTTGAGATAAAACCTTTTTGCATATTACTACTTTGAGATATATTTAGCATAATGTTTGAAATGTTTACACTTTTTATAGTGTATAAAGTATATTTAGATTACTTTATTTTGGGACAGTGGGAGTTATAGTGTTGTAGTATTAGCTTGATGGTGGTTTGGAGATTTGTTCTGCTCTGAATGTTAAGCAGCCACACTGTTTGGTATAGAGACATTTTGCATTTAGACCAGCAGCAGCAGCAGCAGCAGAAGCAGCAGAAGCAGCAGCAGCCGTTTGACAAGAGCAGAGCTGATCCAGACTTTGATAACTGAGATTTTCATTTGGCAGTCCCAGGGTCTAGAGTGTGGACATCCATCTTCCTTAAGATTGTGGCGAATAAGAACAAAGGCTTTTAAATCCAACGCGAGGAATGGTTAATGAACGCTTTTCTGTCAGTTATTGTTGCCAGGCCAGTTCAGAACCCAGAAACATAAAAGGAGGAAGTCACTTGGGAGAGGAAATAGAGGCTCTTTTCTAGAAATTATTATTCTTCAAGGTTTTTTAGCAACCGTGGTAAAGTATTTATCATATAGTTATCATATATTTATTATGTAACAGGCCCACAGCACACAGTATGTTTAATATTGTGTTGTAAACTGTGTCAATAAAGTCCCTGTTTCTTTATCGACTATTATCAATACATTTTCAACATAACAACACACATTATAATTATCGTTATTTGAACAGAGCCCCGTTTCCACCATCCTCACTTGGCCTTACTCTACTCTAGTCGGCTCAGCTCGACCCTGATTGGGAGCGCGTCCACTGGCACCAGGTACATTTTTAGTACCTTTTGGCCCTGGTTCTAACCTTTGATTATGGATGGACAATGCTAAGAGCTCAAGAGCAGAGATAGAGATGAGTAGAAATGAGTATAGATGAGTAGAGCAGAGTACAGTAGAGCAGAGTAGAGTTAAGTAGAGTAGATCAGAGTACAGTAGAGTAGAGTTAAGTAGAGTACTAACAGAGTAGAGTAGAGTATTGACAGAGTAGAGTAGAGTAGAGTAGAGTACTGACAGAGTAGAGTAGAGTATTGACAGAGTAGAGTAGAGTAGAGTAGAGTACTGACAGAGTAGAGTAGAGTAGAGTAGAGTACTGACAGAGTAGAGTAGAGTAGAGTACTGACAGAGTAGAGTAGAGTAGAGTACTGATAGAGTAGAGTAGAGTAGAGTAGAATACAGTAGAGTAGAGTACAGTAGAGTAGGGTAGAGTACTAACAGAGTAGAGTAGAGTAGAATACAGTAGAGTAGAGTACAGTAGAGTAGGGTAGAGTACTAACAGAGATGAGTAGAGTAGAGTAGAGCAGAGTACAGTAGAGTAGAGTAGAGTAGAGTAGAGTACTAACAGAGTAGAGTAGAGTAGAGTAGAGTACTGACAGAGTAGAGTAGAGTAGAGTAGAGTACTGACAGAGTAGAGTAGAGTAGAGTACTGACAGAGTAGAGTAGAGTAGAGTAGAGTACTGACAGAGTCGAGTAGAGTAGAGTAGAATACAGTAGAGTAGAGTACAGTAGAGTAGGGTAGAGTACTAACAGAGTAGAGTAGAATACAGTAGAGTAGAGTACAGTAGAGTAGGGTAGAGTACTAACAGAGATGAGTAGAGTAGAGTAGAGCAGAGTACAGTAGAGTAGAGTAGAGTAGAGATGAGTAGAGTAGAGTAGAGCAGAGTACAGTAGAGTAGAGTAGAGTTAAGTAGAGTACTAACAGAGTAGAGTAGAGTAGAGTAGAGTACTGACAGAGTAGAGTAGAGAAGAGTACTGACAGAGTAGAGTAGAGTAGAGTAGAGTACTGACAGAGTAGAGTAGAGTAGAGTAGAGTACTGACAGAGTAGAGTAGAGTAGAGTAGAGTAGAGTACAGTAGGGTAGAGTAGAGTATGGTAGAGTACTAACAGAGTAGATTAGAGTAGAGTAGAGTAGAGTACTAACAGAGTAGAGTAGAGTAGAGTACAGTAGAGTAGAGTAGAGTACAGTAGAGTAGGGTAGAGTAGAGTAGAGTACTAACAGAGTAGAGTAGAGTCAAAAACATCTGGTGATTAGGGAGTTTTTACCTGTATTTGTTGCAGCAGGTTTTTGAGTTGAACGAGGAACTCTTTTGCGTCTTTGGCTTTGTCTGAAACTCCGTTCAGAGCCTGCGATAGCTGACACTGTGGGGACACACACACACATCACACACACACACACACACACACACACACACACACACACACACACACACACACACACAAACACACACACACACACACACCCACACATCACACACACCCACACACACACACGCACAAACACACACACACACACGCACAAACACACACACACACACACACACACACACACACACACACACATCAGATTATATTAAAGGAGACTTCACTTCATCCACATTGAGAAAAAGTGAAGGTTTTTGGATCATATAAATAAGCCTTGTTAATAAATGCATTAAACACATTAGTTCTGCTCCAGTAACAGACCATCACACGTGTTCTGTAACCCCTGGATACTGAGATTATCACCATCCTGTCCTGGTGTGGATTTTATTTTTCTAATTTGGTTTTATTTTGACATCAGTTTTCTGTGGTTTGGTTTTAGTTTCACTTCCTGTCTTGTTCTCCTGTGTCGATGGTCCGCCCCGCCCTGGTGAGTTTCCCCTGTGCCTGTGTCCATATGTACCCGTGCTCCTCTCCTCTGGTCTCCTCTGGTCTCCTCTGGTCTCCTCTGGTTGCTGGTTCATTGTATTGTCTTTGCTTGTTCTGGTCTTGTGTTTGTTCCTGGTCCCGTTTTGGGTTTTTGAATGTTTTTTTTTACCTTGGACTTTTGTTTTTCATCACTGAATCATTTACATGTTTTCATTCCTGCGTTTTGAGTCCTCCATAATCTCACTTCATGACACATCTCTAGGCACATACAGGTCAAGTGTCAATCCAATATCTAATTTATGAGATTATCCACTTAATCCAGATTAGATTATAATATATACACTGCTAACAAGGATCCAACATGAGGTAATAAAGGCTTAAATTGAGTATATTCTGACAATATTCTCCGATGGAACAAAGCCATTTAGTGTTATTTCAAGAACGGTTGCATTTTTTTCTCAATCCAGGTGAAAACAAGGCCATTTGGCTTTGTCCCATTTGCAAATCCTGTGTTATGGCAGTCAGAATGTGCTCAAATTAAGATACATTTTACCAAATTTGAGCAATCTTCAGCTTGTTTCTCATCATTTTTTGCAGTGTAATGCAAACATGTGCAGAGTGAGTGTCAACATTCCACTGTTTATGCGCAAATACAGACAGAGCAAAGCTATCTCTGTTTAGAAAGCTAATAGACATGGTTCCAAATCCTGTATGAAACCGAAACACAAAACCACGTTGATACAGGACGCCTCAAGGACAAATGCAAACAGAAGATTGGATTGATCTGAAGACCGAGACTAATGCGCTTGACACCGGCTAAATTGACTGTTTACGGAATATAAGCCCCGCCTCCAGAGGTTGTCCTCATTTGCATACGACAGCCCAGAGTCTCCCATGTCCGGGGGAGATCCAAGGTAGCATACCGCAATTTATACCCCATTAAAAATAGATGGCCCATTTTACATTTGCTACAGAAGGTGCAAAATCTGTTAAAGGCAGTCATTAACCAGCAAATGAAAATAGATTCGGGGGATTAATTAAACTCGCGGCAGACGACGCATGGGTAGGTTGACAGTTAAAGTCGCCAATACAGCACTTTTAATGCTTCGACAGATTTCCTTATTTGTTATTATCTTTGGTGTCGTTGTTATTGTGTGTTCATTATGGGGTGATATGAACCCAGTGCAAGTGTTGTGTTCAAATCTTGGCCTGAGAATGTTGTGTGTTTGTGTGTGTATATGTTTGCATGGGAAAATAGTGTGCGTTGAGCCAAATATGTGAATGTGGGACAGATGGTGTGGGCCATCATTCAGACTGAGGCAGGACAAAGGGCCATTACAGCAGACACACAGGAAGCAATGAACACGCTCTGCTTTGGACACATTATAACTACTATTTTATTGTGGTGTGTTCTGGGTATACACATCTTTTTGTGCGTCAAAAAGATGCCAACAGTTATCGATCCATTCTTGAACAAAAATAAATACATATGCAGCTTTATATTATATTAATCTTAGCTGAATTTCTTTTTGAGAGGAGTCCTGACCCCTTGACAGAGAGAGTTTTTTGTACATGGTTTTAGTAGTAAGGGGAACCAGAGAAGACACAGGGAGAACATGCAAACTACACACAGAAAGGTCCTGTCTGAAGATGGAGTCGAACCCTGGACCTTCAAGTTGAGATAAGTCACACTGTCAAAAAAACATATCGGGTAATTAAGCAGTACTAGCTTCTTTACATATTTTTGTCAAATTAAAAGAACCTTTTTGAAATACCCACATACTATACTGTGAATCTATGGTGTAAGATTTTTGTCTGTTTTTTTGACTGGTCTCATTGCCGAAAAAGAAGCCCCCAGAAGCAGAATCACATCTATCCATACAAACACATGAGTACATTGTTCTAAAAGTATCTATCTAACAACAATGATTAAAATTAAGATTAAGAGATTCTATATTCGTCTCACAGTGGGGAAATTTCAGTGTTGCATCACTGGTTACAAAACAGTAGGAATGAGGAGCAAAAATGAGACAAGAGGGAACAATAAATGTGAATTAAAATGATATAAAATAATTCGTAAGCGTAAGAACGAAGCAAGTATAAAATCTTTAACTTCAGCATAATAATGAAGCATAATGAGTAACAATTAAAAGTATAAAATCTCTGCCTTTAGTGTCATAAGAAATGTACAATGTGTCTGTCTGCTTCATATGCAACACAATTCAGACACAAAACAGACAAAATGAATTGCACACTGATGTCATTATCCACGTCCACAACAATGCCTAAACAATACACACACACACACACACACACACACACACACAGAGACCAATTTCCTCGAGATTGACGCTGACTTTCGTTTTTTCCCCCTTTATAATCCAATGACCGCCCCACCCCCACTTATCACTTATCACCCATCCCTCTCCTCATGCTGTCTGCTCCACACGTGCCCTGAAAGGCGATGGGGGGGGGGGGTGGATGGGGGAGAAATGTGGGGGGGGGGCAGGGTGATGCATGAGCAGGGCAGAGGGGAGGCCATCTGTCCCGCCAGGCCGCCCTCAGTCTCCTGCCCCGGTGCCAGAGCCAGGAGGAAGCACGGCGTAACAAGGACATGACGGATGGATGGAGCGGTCGATTTGCACAGACGCTGATGGAGGACGAACCCGGGGCAGAGTTACAAGCCCCGCCCACCTGTCTGGCACTTTGTTTGGCACTTGTCGAGCACATATTGATTCGACGACGCTCGGTATTAAGGGCTGTGGAGGGAGAGCCGTAGAGGAGGCAAAAGGTCGGAGAGTGTTAAAAGCAACGATAGAGTTTGAGATTGTGATATCACTGAAGCTACGTCAACAACCAATGGAGAGATTTAGACGTGAAGATAGATGTTTAGAGTTCCATGAATGGGAGCCTGCATCAATCAAACTTGGGACAAAAGTTAGACACTGGATAAAAGGAAAAAGTCTCTATGGTCTCTCTCTCACTGGTCTCTCTCTGGTCTCTCTCTCTGGTCTCTCTAGTCTCTCTCTGGTCTCTCTCTGGTCTCTCTCTCTGGTCTCTCTCTCTGGTCTCTCTCTCTGGTCTCTCTAGTCTCTCTCTGGTCTCTCTCAGGTCTCTCTCTGGTCCCTCTCACTGGTTTCTCTCTGGTCTCCCTCTGGTCTCTCTCTGGTCTCTCTCAGGTCTCCCTCTGGTCTCTCTCTGGTCTCTCTCAGGTCTCTCTCTGGTCTCTCTCAGGTCTCTCTCTGGTCCCTCTCTGGTCTCTCTCTCTCTGGTCTCTCTCTTGTGTCATACAGCTGCAATTACAACCTGCTGTTGTGGAGCGAGTTCAGAGATATTTGGATTTCAAAATTAGTTTTTCAGTTCCTAAATCTTGTTATTGTTTTCATTTCGATGTCTCGCCCTCCACCGTTTCACCAATCAGAAAGTCTGTGATCCGGGCGCCGGAACTCACCGCGTCAAGCTAATCTCACTGGTAAAGTACCATGTGGCGCAGAACTAAAAAAAGGTTTCGTTATGATTCTCAAATCATTAACGACAAAACAAGGAATAAAACCAGGATTTCTATCTTTGTGAAAAAGGTGTTGGTTATAGATTTGTTGTTGACAAAACTCTTGTCTATTCAGCTGTTATGGTCCCAGCTGGATTCGTCTGCATATCTGGCAACCTGAGTCAGGGAGAGTGCAGTACCACTTTTGCCCAGATTTTTACATACTGCTCCTTTAACACGGACTCCCAGAAACTGAAACTACTAGAATTTCTTTTTGACAGCTCCCACTCAAATCAATGAAATTCTGGGAAGAAAATTTTAGTTTTTCCCAACTTTTATTAAGATTAAATAATTCACGCATTTTTAAAAATCTTTACTACATGCAAAAACTGGTGAATAGAACTGAAATACTGCAAAACAAAATACTAACAGACGGAAGTAAACAGTGTGTTGCTATGGTAACCAGCATTTGCTCCAAGCTCTGAACCAGTCTAGGATCGAGATCATTTCATAATCATGACATAGTAATAAAATACATACAGATACAGAAAAAGTCACAAAGTTATGAAGACCAAAAATGTGCATTAGTGGACAGGGCCTGGTCAGTACTGTGATGGGAGACCTCTGGGAACACACACACACACACACACACACACACACTTCACCCACATTGCCTAGAATGAGTCTGGTGTGTGTGTGAATGGTTGGTGATGGGCTGATGGCACATACCGGTTGCCACGCTTCTGTCAAAGTGCCCCGGGGCAGCTGTGGCTATAGTAGTTCTTTATCACCACTGTGTTTGGAGTGAAAGAATAATGACAAGTCCTGAAAAGCACTATATAAAACCGTTGCATTGTTAAAAGTAAACACAGCCAGTAACGACTCCTTGTTATCACGCACTAAAACTCTCCAGTCACGCTCAAACTCGAGGGCATAGATGAGATTTAAACCTTGTCACAGAATATCAAAAACAAAGGTCCAACTCCTCTTTAAGCTTGAAAACTCTTCTCGTCAGCCAGAAGCCATTCCCTCGATCTGAACCCGTGGTCTCAAAGAATTCTCATCACATTTTGCACAACGGACCTCAGAGTCTGTACGCCCCAGATTCTATCAAAACCTAGAAAATATTCAACTAATGGCTTACAGTAAAATCCCAACGCAGGGGGAAAAGGTTATTCTGAGTTGGATGTATATAATTGTTAATGCTGTTTTAACCACAGTCCTCCCTGACAAAAACACATACCCAAAAGACATCGTTCTTCCAAGGAGACAAGTAAAGAGCCAGAGTACGACCAGCTCAGGCTCTCTCAGGACAGGTCTGAAGCCTTCCCGTCTGCAAGGTCCGTCTGATGGTACAAGACACACCTTCAAATGCAGACACCAAAGAAAGAACCAAACAGAACCAAAGTCACTACGTATGAGCGTATACAAAGCCTGCTTCCTCCTGGTGTTCAACATACGAGCCCCCTAGACTTCCTGGAGTTCTTCTGTACACCATATATCTAGCCACATTTTGGAATTATTAAAATGATTACTTCCAATGACAGTGTTTTATTTTAACCCTTTAATGGTTTGCTCAATCATTTTTAGGATCACGTTTTGAGCTTGGAACTAAAATGTACCTCACTTTGCAGACTTTTACCATCAAACTGCATCTCAACCCTTTTGTAGAGGCCCATAATAACAAAAAGAAGGGTTCAAAAGCTGATTATGTGTGCTATTAGTGCTCCTACATTTCAGAAAATCATGGGGAACAAAATGCTTTCTTCAAGGAGTAAAGATTTAAGGGGTAAAGGCCGTTTAACCATATTACATCTTGGTTTTATGTTGCGTCCATTTTCCCGTGACGAGCTCAGAGAGGTTCATAACAACAACATTCCACAGACCAAGGTCACTCAAAGCACTTTACAATCTTGGTCCACCACAACATGTCGTCTCCATCTTGAATGAGAAAACACGAAAGCTGTTCTATAGTTGTTTAGATGTTGCCCTGAGAGTCGGTCTGTCACGGCTTGGGCTGAGGACCTTCACCACGAGAGGCACAGCTCGCTTCCAAAGACACTCCTGGATCCAGACGGTGATCAATAACTTTCTCCTCGTCATGTATGGATTTGTTTGGAGATTTCACGCTTGTGTGCACTTTGGAAATGGCTCAGCAGCGAGACAGTGAGAATAGCCCTGTGAGTCACTGTCTGACACTTGTGACTGTGACTGTGTAAGAGTGGTCCTCTCTGTTTCACTCATATTCATATAATAATAATAATAATAATAATGCATTTGTTTTACAGCGCTTTTTAGGACACTTACAGACGCTGCACATGTCATCATTCTTTCACATACACGGTGGTGATAAACTACAACTATAGCCATAGCTGCCCCGGGGCACACTGACACTGCCACTTACACACTGTGCCATTGGCTCCTCCCACCACCAACCACACACCAGACTCATGCTAGATAATGTGGGTGAAGTGTCTTGCCTTAGGACACAATGACAGTTTGGCACTTTACAGCCGCAGCCGCCCCACTGTGCCCCAACTGGTGTTCCCAGAGGTCTCCCATCACAGTACTAACCAGGCCCTGCCCTGCTTAGCTTCAGAGGTCTGATGGGAAAAATATGTGACAGAAGCTAGTGTTGTATATTTTAAATATACACTATACAGATGTGACAATATTTGACCATTTGAACATCATAGCCAAAAAAGACCTGTGCACTCAGGAAAAAACCCCAAGGACACAAGATAGTACGGGAATCATAAAGAGGACCAGCTTACAAAACCAGACAATTATTGACTCCAAGTATAAGCAGGGCTCTCTCCCACTTTTGGCGAGAGCAAAGTCCAACACAATCAGGCGCCGCAGGGGTGGGGGCATTGTTTGCTAAGACTGATATGGAAGACCAAAACCAAGACCAAAATCCAGACCAGAGACCAGTCTCAGACCATGTGACGTCATCGGACATGTTGATAAAACTGGGGGTAGGACATTTTGAGCAGTCTGAGCAGGGATAGATAGACAGAAAACATGGCAGAGCGCCTGCATGTTCTCTGCACATTTTCAGGCCTGGAGGGAAAGTTTAGAATGGCTCAGCATAGGGTTAGTTTTAGAGAATTAATGGCTCCAAGAGTTTTGTATCGATATTTAATTGTAAAGAGAATTAAATGTTCTATTTTTAACTCTTGCATCTTTGTCTTACTTCTGCATCAACTTTGAACACGTCTGTCAAGGGTATTTTTTGACAACACTAGAAATACATAAATATTCACACACATGATTCTAGTTCGTTTCTGGTTTGTTAAACATTTGTGTACTTTTTAAAAATTTTATTACCTCGAATAACCACGACTGAAACAACTGTTGCTATCACACTACAAAAAATATATTATCTTTTAACCTTTTAAGGATCACCCTCCCTGTACAGGGAGGATTCAGTAATTTTTCATTTAACAGCATCAGTATTAGAATTCACTTGTGTCAATATAGCCAAGCTATATCTCTTTTGAAAGCTTATTCCCACCTCTAAACGCGTATTATGTTCAAATAAACATTAAATATAATCAAAAGTAAGAATAAGTAGTCAAACTGTATTTATATATAAAATATATATTGTCGACAGGGGGCGACAGTAGCTCAGTTGGTAGAGCATTCAATACCAATGGTAGGGTTCAATTCCCACCTCTGCACCTTCTCCACCGACTCCCACTGATGACTGCTGTCGTTGTGTCCTTGGGCAAGACACTTAACCCCACTTTGCCCAAAGCCCCCACTGAAAGATCAAGGCTATGCTCACACTCAGAGAGCAGCCGTCCTCCTGTGGACTCACCACCTGCAGAGGATCAGTGAGGGGCTGGTGCTATGAGACTTGGGTGGCATCTCTGATTGCCACCCCCCTGACCCAGAAATGGATTAAAGGGTAGAAAATGGATGGATGGATGGATATATATTGTCGTTTCTTACCTTGTCATGCTAATATTCTGGGGCAAATCACGTCTAATCCACACATGTGTGCATTAATTTTGTTCGTTAGGGTCTAGAGCAGGGGTGCTCACACTTTTTCAGCATGCGAGCTACTTATAAAAGGATCAAGTCAAAATGATCTACCTACTACAAAAATGCAAATCATATATTTATTTCAAAAAATATTCTTTATACCTACAATGTATGTTTATGTACATGCAAAACCGCATGAGCCAATATAGCACAACACAACACAATTACCTATGTACATTTTTTGTCATTACCCGAGTTTACTCTTATGACTTGCACTGAATTGAATCGGCCAGGGATGCATAGTCCGGAAAATTGGTGGTAACTCGCTGACAAGTTTGTCGTGGTTTAGCTTTCCTGCACTGAGCGCGGTTGTTTGCGCATGTGCAGTCACCTAAGTGTCAGTAAAACATTACTGAGTAAAACACAGATGTCATTTGACTGTGGTGCCATGTCCATGTGCCATGCCTGGTTTTTTAAATCCAAATATTTCCCCTCCTCCGTTTATAAAATAATTTGCATCCACACATCTGCGTTATCAGTCACGTTCGTAACATTCCAAACATGTGCGTCTCTTACGTCCTGTCCTGCGTTGGGGGAAAACACAGAAGTGGGCGGAGTTCTGATGCAGACGCCGGTAACGGCACTTTTACAGTCATAGAAGACACTCAGAGTAAAGACGTATGTTTACAAGCACTGACCCCGTCCTCAGCCCTGGTTTAGTCCTGATTTAGTCCTGGTTTAGCCCTGGTTTAGTCCTGGTTTAGTCCTGGTTTAGTCCTGGTTTGGTTGTTTTCGAGCGTGAGTCCCCGCGATCACTTTGCTGCTCTCTGATGTGGAGGATGTTTGCTGCTGCGAGCATCTCACAGTGAACAGTTTTTAAGGTCGTATGATCCATGCTTCAGTGATCAGAGGAATTTAGGGGGGTACTGTGGCGTGCGAGAACGCAAAACTCCGGTTATCTCTGTCTACACACAAATGCATTAACGGAGTTTTCAAAAATCTCCACTTTGCCCGGAGTTTTTTGTATATATTCGTTCAGAATGTGTAATTTTTTATTTATTTAATGCGATCTACCAATACTACCTTTGCGATCGACTGGTAGATCGCGATCGACGTATTGAGCACCCCTGGTCTAGAGAATAATTATATCCAGTTGTTTTTTCTTCAAAGTTATCCTTATAGTAGATATCCACTTGTAACAACATATTTGAGTATTGAAAGTTGCACAAACAAAAACAAAACCTGTTCTTTGCGCACTGTATGAAGAGAACATTTTACTATTTACCTAGCGTCACTGGGTATGTTCGTCTTCCCCTAAGCCTCCCCTTCAAAACAAGCCCATTCCCGGACTTTTCAGTGCTATGGTTTGGAAGGTAGAGTAAGTTGAGTAAAACAAGCGCACCTAGCTTTAGCGCTCCAGTCATATAGATATCTGTGCGTCACGACAGCATTGTCTTGACTACCATTGGCCGATTTGGATGTCAATCAAATCATCTTGTAGCCAATAATCTCAGGTTTCAGGCGATGTGTCGGACTTCAAGGTTCCTCCCACAGTTCCAGTCATATTTGAATGCGTGACGGAGCCTCTTTCACGGAGAACACGCGCTATAACTATATAAATAATAGCTTTTCTGCAAACATTTCAATATCTGGAAAAAATGCTATTTATAGCAAGAGTAATAGCCAAAAAATGATATAATTAGATTTTTGGTGTAAAAACATTGATAATTTGCATGTAAAACACTTTGGCACAGTTGGCACAAAAATGGACCACTTGTGCCGAATGTGCCCATTAGTCACAAAAAAGCCCCCAGCATCAAAATAGTTCCACCTAAAGGTCTAAAATTTCATACAGGTGTTGCCAACACCACAAACATCTGCTCTGGTGAGTTTGAACAACATACCATAAAGTATGTCTTCAGGAGAACCTTTTGAAATTGCCTTCTTTTTTTTGAGACAAAAAAAACTAACTTTGACTCATGTTTGAGAAGCTGTAGTGCAGACTGTGTCCTTCCTAACAAACTGTAACATACATTTCCAGAAACTAGAAGGTGTTACCTTTAAAATGAGGCATCATAACACAACATCAGACACAAGATGTCCACACAATAAGCATTTCCATTTGGGTATCATAATTCGAAAAGGAACAGGCGAAATTAGGTGATCCTTAAAGGGTTAAAAACAAGTTCAATTTGTAAATCTTGTTTTAAGGCCAAGTCAAAATGTGCTAAAAAAAAAACACACTTTGCCAAATTTGAGCAACTTTTAACTTGTTTTTTCGTCACCTTTTGCAGTGCATTCTTAAGTCTGGCCAGAGGGGGCTTCGCGAGCACAAAAATGGCAAACTCCACATAGCTGCTTCAAGTTGGCCTTTTATCTATGAAGGAAATATCAAAGGCTTTTATTCCCCACAAATAACTTCAATAAAAGGCCATTTCCGGCACAAAAGACCTGAATGTGAATGAATGGATGAGTACTTTGTATTGTATTGCTCTGTATTGCACCTGAAGCACTGTTCAAACCCACTCGTTTGCATAGTTCATTCCTCCGTTCTCTCCATTGTCCTGAGATCTTGACCTTCTGCCGAGGAGCTCCACCTGTCAGCCGCTTCCACAGTCATTATCTCCTGATCTCATTAAAGGAGAGAATGTATTCAGGCTTTGACATTCAGGAAAACCATCGGAGAAACACGGCAGATCCACATTCTCTCAAACTGTCTCAGAGCGGCGAGAGTTTGAGGAGAATATTATTTAGTTACGCCGCTAAAAAGTGATGCCTTTAGCAGATAGAGTTACAAAACGCTTTACAATTGTAGTTGTTTTTGTTAGCATTTTTCCTCTAACTACTGAAAAAATGATAAAATATGAGGAAATAATTGCTTGCATCGGGTGTTTTTAAAAAAAAGTTAAAGTTTAATTTTTATGTTTTTGATTGCTTGGAAACTGTATTCAAAAGTAACATTAACAAATCCAATCCAGTCCACTTCATACAGTATATAGGGTTAGGGTTATAAAACGTTTCCTAAAGTATCCAAAGGAGCTGCACAGAAATCTCAAAACCAATTTTTTTAAACTGGCTTATTCTTTGTCATTTTAAATATTTATAGATATATTCTACTTTTGATATTGTGTGTGATGTTTTTTAACTTTGGGTGTCTTAAAAGGAGCCATGAGATAAAATGAATTATTATTGTTATTAAAAGTGACACATTTAAATATACAGGCTTGCGAGCTATAAATAAATAAAATAAATAAAATAAATACAATAAATAAAATAAATAAAATAAATAAAATAAAATAAAAAAAATAAATAAAATAAATACCCGATGTTCCCCGGGTCCGATGTTCCCCGGGTCCGGTGTTCCCCGGGTCCGGTGTTCCCCGGCTCCGGAGTTCCCCGGGGCGGGGAACACCGGACCCGGGGAACATCGGACCTTCCAAACGCCGGAGGGCCCGGTGTTCCCCGACTGCGGGCCTCGCTCATAGACATGTTATTGCTGCGCGCGGATAATGGAGCAACAAGCGGCTTTCGCTCATAACTAGTCTATAGGGCTACTGAATACTTTATATTATAAGCCTAGTAGATCTCGCATTGTAGTAGCCAACTACATTTTTACAACCTATCACCTCAGAATAAGAACGTGTTGCAGATAAGAAAAGTAAAATTAGCTCCACCACCTTTTCTTTTTGGAAACATATCTCCCTCCGTTCATCCTCGCAACAGTATATCGGCGCCAGGTTTGCAATTTTGGGTAGGCCTGCAGATTAGTAAGTAGGCCAAATTCGCTTGCAAACTACAAGGGCTAACTGGAATTTGGGTTTCAAAGAATATGGTTCAAACGCACACACGCACGCACACGCACTCACGCGCGCACATACACACAAGCTCATTTATGAAACTTGCGTTGAAAAAGGTGTACATTTTGGGTGTATATTCCATTCACGCAATTTGCCAAAATGTTTTGATACATTAGAAAAATCCTTATTGAATTGTAGAAGTGAATAAATATAGATTGATTGAATGAATGAATTAATTCATCATGCAGCGGTGGCTCTCATGAATGAAGCGTCTGCAGCGTCTTGGACGCAGCCTGGCTCGGGGTAGAAGTGCGCATTGAGGCGCTGTACACTTCATAGAGAGCGTTTGCGGTCCAGATTTCACAAAGAAACTCTGGAGCCAAAACTTCTGCACATGTGGCGCGACCTCTCACGGCACTCGCTGCGCACTCGGGACAGGGCAGTGAGACGTTTGAGTGAGCAATACAATCGATGCGTTATTGGGGTGTGTGTCTGTGTGAGGCTTACACAAATCTAATGAAATAACACATTGCTTTACCAGATGTGAATGAGGAATACAAATAGCCGTGCGTAATTACGCAGCGCAGAGCCTGCCACAGCAATAGATGGGTCACACATCCCTGTTGCGTAAAGTGTATAGAGCCTTTCACTGTCCAGGATCACAAAGCGCTTCACATTTTAAAAACATACAGATCAAAATAATACACACACAAGTCAGATTTAATAGAGGGTCCTCATCATGAGCTGTGATTTATTCGAAGTTTGCGTGTTTCCATTAGACTTTTTCTGATGCGCAAATTCAAATTTTGAAACATGATCCTCAATGAAAACACAGCTTATAATTTTGCCAGAGGGAATATGTTTATTGTTGTACATATCTTGAATTTCATGCGTGTTGTGCCGAAGGTTGAGATCAGCGTATAGATTTACAACACCTCCAGACCTGGCGTTCATTTTTTGCGTATTGTACGCTCACGTCCAGATAGATAAATGCGGAAAAGTGTAATATTTTGCGTACGCCTCATTTACCCTGATTTGGCCGTACGCAGGTTTCATACATGAGGCCCACAGTGAGGCCCACAGTGA